TGTGTTTTCAATTGATTAATAAATTGACAATTTAGTCTGACTACAAGTACTTAAAAAAAAAATTATATATTTTTAAGAAATAAAATTTATAATTTTTTATTTTAATAGAAACAAATATTTTAAATCAACTATTTAAATAATAGAAAATTATTATAAATAGTTTATTTATAATTAAAAATTTAAATTTTTTAATATTTTATATAAAAATATTTAATTTTTATTTTTAATTCTTTTTTTTAAAAACTTATTTATTTTAATTAAAAATTCAATTTTTGATTAAGAAAATTTATAAGTAAAATACTGTATACAGTATATATATAATAGTAATTTTTGAAAATATTATACTTTTCAAGTTATTTTAAAACAGGAAATAAAATTTTTTAATCAAAAAATTTGAAAGTTTTAATAAAAAATTTATATATATAGTGTATGATTAAAAAATTATGTAAAAGAGTTTATTTAAATATTAAAATTTTAAATTTTTTATAATGATATATTATTTTAATTTAAATTTAAATATTTAATTAAATTTAATTTAAATTAATTTAATAAAATTATATATATATTTTTTATTAATTTAATTTTTAATAGATAATAAAAAAAAAAATAATTAATTAATTAATATACAATATTTTTTTTTTAATCCATAGTCAGGCCAATATGGCTTATTCATTTTATTGTAAACATATTTGGTATTTATATATTTTATAACTTTCATATATTAATTCATATATCTACAAAGTTTAACTTTCTCTAGATACAATCTAGAGGATGATATTTTGCTCCTTTTGTGACTTGGATTATTCTTAAACTACTCAGATTATTGCCTACAGTCCATTACTGTAGATCTTCCAAAGTTCTAACTATTATTAAAAATCAAATCATTTAAAATCTTTGGATATCCAACTATTTATTATATTTACTATATTGTTTTAGGATTTCATTCATTCTAAGTTTTCTTTTTCTTCTATTACATTTTTGGAGGAAAGAATAGAGAAGTAATTGGTTTTCTTAGGGACTTGATCCATTTTCTAGTTATATATGTTAGTACTCTAGCCTTTTGAGTCTGTTGACAATTCCTTGGTTTTGTTTCCATTCAATAATAATATTATAGCACTTGTTTTAGACTTCTTTCTTAAAGATCTTCTTCATTTTTTTACAAAATTTATTAATAGCCTCTTGTATTATTATCTTTGGAATCTTGAGAGTTTTGAAATACTTTTTCAGAATTTTGGTCTTGTCATTGTATATAAAGTTACAGACTGTGTTATATAGGTTTTTATTCTATTGTTTAATATCCTGAATCCATTTTCCTATTACTTTTTTAATTTCTAACTGACTTTCATCAGATAGATTTTTTGTTTTCCTGATATATCAAAGGATTTTATTTTGAGATTTGTTCCATATAGGTGATTTTTTATTTTGAGTCTTGGAATATTCAAAAAGATGTTTAAGGTTTCCTCTTGTAATTTGCATATTGAGTATATTGTATTTGAATATAAGTCTGATTTTCTTTTCTACATTATTTGAAGGGTAGAAAGTTTATTATAGGTTAGATTTATCAGAAAACTCTTGTTCTTATTAATGTTAAAGGAGGTATAAAAGGTATTGTATAGATTAAATTGTCTTCAAAAAATTTGTCAGTCAATTTCTTTATAAGGATATATCTATCGATCTTGGATATATTTTTACTCTGTTCAGGTTAGTTCTATTTTCTTTGTGTTTCATTTTTTAAGAAAATCTCTAATACTGATACCAATAGTATATTTCTTCTAGACTACTATTGTAAGAACTTGATTCAGATTAGGTGTTTGTTGTTAAATTAAGAGATTTTCTCTTCTGGTCTGCTTTACTAACCTGTCTGTTATATTGTTAAACTTATTGTTTTGATGGGCCTTGATTTTTTCAAGTATGAGACAAAAGTTTTTCTTTTATACTAGGTCCTTGATTCAATTTTATAGTGGCTAGTTGGTTATTTTAATCTATTTCCTTATGGAAATAAACTTTTGTGACTAGATTGTCTTCAATATCTTGATAGCTATACTACAATCTTTATATATGATTGCTTTTCCATTTTCAGGTATTGTAAAGATTGTAATAAGTATGACTAGGATTTCTGCTCTTGTAGTTGATGACTTTGATGTTGCCCTTACTGAGAATTGATTGATTATTATTGTATTCTTAATTTGAATCTATGTAAGACCCATTTCAAGTTCATTCTCATTTTTTATATATTACTTGTAATATTCATCAGTAAAGAAAGTGAATTGCTTTATATTGCTTTTATAGTTGTGTCTAAGACTTTTATTAGATCTGTCATATGCTTCTCTAATTGTATGGTTTATTTAATTAGTTCAACTTTTCAATTCTTTATTTGTATCTCAATCTTTTTGATCCCAATAAATATATAGTACTTAATTCATTTGTTGGTACTATGAGCTACCAGTTTGTGGGATTTCTTGAAAGTGTAAGTAGATTTTTTTTCTAAAACTTTCTTGCTTATTTAGTTGTAGTAGTAACCAGGTTTGAGATATGTATAAAATTGTTAGTTATTTGAATATATGAGAATGACAAATAGTACTATTTGTGGTAAGATTGTAAATAAGCTAATATAGTGTAAAAAGTATTTCTTTGTTTTACATTTTGACTTTTTCTATAGTAGTTCCTATTGTTTTAATTAAAACTTCTCAATTTATTCTTTGTTTATCCATTTTAGGAACCACTTTTACTATTTAAAGTTCATATTTAATCTATTTTAGAGTTTGGTAGTACTGTTTCAACAAGTTTTGTTATTCTGTCACCTTTGCTCTGATTTGTATATATCAACTTAAAATAGAATCTTTACAAGTATTAGCAAAAATTTGAACTGCTCTCCATTTTTTTATTGTTAGTGTGATCGTATTAATTAGTTGATCTAAAAATATTATTTTGTTTTTTTTTAAAGAAGGGATAGCTTTCATGTATTCTTTCTCATTATTTATGATTGTCTTGATAGACATGGTGTCTCCTTAAGTATCAAAGATCTTTTTTTTATTTCCAGCTGTTATATGTGATCTGTAGTTTTTTTGCTATAATTAGAGTTGCAGTAACAAGGTTACCTTTCTCAATTGTCTTAATTTCTATTGGATCATCAAAAATGTATTTGAGTTAATTTTGTTTAAGTTGGATAACTATTGCAATTCCTAAAGCTTCACTGTTATTTAATTAATAGAACAGTGTTATTATCATTAATATATAATATATTATTATAATATAAATTTATTTTTTAATTAAAAAGTTATTAAATAATTTTTTGTATATATAATTTATAGTTAAGCTTAATTAAAATAAAGTTAATTAATTAATTAAATTTATATAAATATTATTTATTCAGGCAATATAATATTCAATAAAATAAAGATAATTTATTTTATACTATTAATTTCTTAATTTTTAATTTAATTTAATTATTGTAAATAAATTTAAATAAGAAATTATTTTTAGATTATATTTTATTAAAAATTTTTGATAATATAAAAGTATAATAAAGTTCAATAATTTATAAGATCAAAAATTTTTAAAAAATTATTAAATTAAAATTTAAGTTTTTTTATACTATTGTTAAAAATTTTGATATATTTTGATAAATAATTGATAAAAATTTAATTTTAATTTCAATTTTAATATTTTTAAATTCAGTTTTAAAAATTTATTAATTTATTATAACATTTATATTTAAAATATTAATTTATACTAATTTTTATAATAAAAATTTTTTATATCAAAATTAAAATTCAAAATTAAATTTTTTAGTAATTATCATATTAAAATCTATCAATTTAAATTTTTAATTTAATGATTTTTCAAAAAATTTTGATCTTATAAATTATTGGACTATATGATATTCTTATCAATTTTTTATATTAAAAAATTTCTTTGATAAAATATAATCTCAAAATTGTTTTTTATTTAAATTTGTATATACTGATTTGAATTAATTTTTAAAAGATTGAAGAATTAATGATACTGATATGATAAGCTACCTAATTTAAAAATTTTTAAAGCACTAAAGTTAAAATTAAAATTTTTAGGAAGTGATCAATAACATATGATTTCCACTATATATTATATATAATATACAGTAATATATTTTTTATTTAATTAGAAATCAATTTGTTTCAAATTATAATTATTTCAAATACAACATAATCTTTATACCCAATTTGAAATAGATAAAGAAAGAAAAAATATATATACTGTATACTGTATAGTATACAGTACATCATGCATCGATTTTACATGTATTGTATAAATGTACTTGAAACTCTTGTAAAAATGAAAAACAAAAATGTTTGTTTTTCATTTGATGATTTTTTTAATTTCTTGAACAAAAGATTTTAAAAAATGAAAATAAAATAAAGAGAATCTATTGTCAAGTAAGGTAGATGTTTTTAATAAACCGTTATGACAATAAAATTCAAAATAGACTATCAATGGTTTATTTTTTGACTCTATGGCTAGGGAATTTCACTCGGTCTTCCTTTCCAAAAAGTTTATTAAAGTGACAAGAATCCAATAGACTCCTTAGTGAATTCACTTTCAATACGGCACACATTTACACTACGTCATTTACCCAAACACTTCAGCCATTCGAAACGAATTTTACGGTCCGAAAAAACCTAATTTGGACCAAAATTGGAAACCGTGTCCCGGGCGCTTATACGGTAATTTATAGCAACGTTTGTCCCGATGACTTCCAATAATAGGTGGTCACACGAAAGTATTTTTAGACATTTAATTGTTTGACCGAAGATTAACATTCAATTTTACCAAATCGCGTTAAAAAGAAAAAAAAAATGGAACAAGGGCTCAAATATTTATATTCACCCATTTTGCTGTGCAAATAAGTGCCAAAGAAAGATTTCAAGATGATAAAAAAGAGGAGCCCTCTACATTACTATCCAGATGGAGATATTTTGATAATCGTAGGGGACACATCATTTTGCTTGCACCGAAACATCATGGCTCTGGCCTCTAAAGTTTTTCAAGACATGTTCACTTGCGCTTCGTCATCATCCGATAATAACGACGATAATATGACCGAATTGACGTTGGAAGGGGAATCCGAATTAACATTTGAGAATGTCATGTCATACATATATCCTAACACTTATGTGTCCATCAATTGGAATAATATTGCCGAATTTTTACGAGTCGCGGACAAATTTATCATGGATTCACTGGTGTCGGCGGCAAAAACATTTCTTGAACAAGAATTTCGTAAGGAACCGCTGGAAGCACTATACTTGGCTGATAAGTATGCATTTAAAGAAATCTACAAGGAAGCATCAAAATTAGTTCTTGAGAAATTGCCAGATTACAAAACAAGGAGTTCATTCCAAGAACTTTCGATACAAACCCGTGCAGCGCTGAATGAACGGTATGTAAGATACACAAATGCGCTGGGGAAGTTGAATAAAGTTGATTTCACCTCAGGATATTTGCATTGTACAGAATGTTTGAATTCCATGAAACATAACAGGGAGATCAAGGAGAAATTTGTGAATAAAGTCAGACAAGTCCAAGTACTCCCGTTGCCACTCCCTCCCACCCCTCCATCAATTACACAGAAGATATTATTTCAGTCAATTGGGAACACGACTTGTGACAATCAGTTTATGACACATCAGCTTTCTCGGAAATTTCGGAAACATTTTGGAACGTTTGAACCCTTGGATTGTAAGAAGCATAAAAAAGATCACAAGCATTACTTATTTATTGAATTGGGGTGACAAGTATTCGGAGACAGTTTGGAATATTTAGAATGTGATATCAGCTTATTTAGGTAAATGAACCGGAAATTCAAGTACATGTGATGTGTGGGCAATAAACGAAATCCTCAGGTTTTGAGATATAACTCAAATCTCGAACGGCCATTGCATCTTCTAATAACACTTATTTGCACATATGTTTTCTCAATAACATTCTCACAGATGGTACATATCGTAATCAGCGAACGATTACTGACAGCGCATTCCAAATTTTCATCACGAACAGGCGTTGCATAGCTCGATCCGTAGCACGTTATTTACAGTGTTGCGCTTCTGGAATTCGCGCCGAGCACACAGAAACTGAAATTTGCAATCGCGTTATATCCAAGTATTGTATTATTAATGAGGATAATAAAGTGAATCGGGTGTACCAGGAATCCACAAGTGCCTCAAATGAACTTTGTTTGTCTTATTACGTGAATTTTAAAGAAGTAATCTAGGTATACTCACTGAATTCGTGGCGACAGGATTTTTTGTTTTTAAATAAATTACCGAATTTATTTTTTATGTACCCTTAGCACCCTTGACAATTCATGATATACAGTATATCTACACACATTTGTAAATTTTCAATCACATCTGCACTTGTTAAAGTCAGTTTACAATACAAAATGCGTGATAATAATAAAGGCAAGCTGTTAAAGTTGGACCGTGCAAAGCAACGTACTGATGTCTACAACCTTTCCTTGAAACGAACGAGGTAGTAGCTATAGAACTAATAAAATATGTATTAAAAAAAAGAGGAAACACGCACCACGATCCAATACATCTTTGCAAGATCTTATGAATCACAAATGTATTGTTTATACACTGTATTTATTATTTAAACTTCGTATTGGTAATTCCAGTACAATACTTACAGTATGCACGTATGAGCTTATTTTATTGAATACTTCAGCAGCTCAAGAAACTCTATGTTGAAACCAAGGCCTGCTACCAAATTATTTAAAATCCAATGAGCGCATGAATTAATGACACCTTTATGGGTAATTATTTTCGAAGTCGGACAGGACTTTATAATTGTATTCCTAGAATTTATATTGTATCTGTAATATTCAAAAAATAGGGACCAAAAAATCTTTATAACATTTTTGTCGTTTTCGAAAATAATCATCCTTATACAATATTTCCTCCTACGTAAACATCATGACCCTAAATGACCATTTTATTAATCTTTATGTAAAAGCAATTACAATATGCATAGCATATTTAAAGTAAGTTTAATGACAAATGGTTAGTACTATAATATAAGCGCTTATATAAATGGCATATATTGAATCTTTTTTTTTTCCTTAAAACTCAAAGGTCGTAAACAAAAAAAAAAAAAAAAAAGGAAGACACGAAACAATACTGTACATCAATTAAAGCTAATGTAGCATTTATAGACTCTACACTTCCCAATAAAGCGTGTTTTTACGTGATTCCTTTACCCTCAACCCATTGGCAATTTTGGCACGGCAGACGGTTACACTATAAAATTGTTGATCAGTTTAACATTTGTATCGTAAAAAAAAATTTTTTTTTTTTTCCTTGCTTCTTTCAAACAAACAAACAAACAGACTGGCAAATAATAATGATTTGGAATAGTCAACAGGTAGTACCAAAATCTCGTGAAAACAGGCGTTGATGATGCCTTATGGATGTTTCCTGTGCCTCACACTATTGAAAATAGAAGCGCAACATTCTGTGATTGGCACCAAAGTATTCGTCGGAGACGGAATGTTTTACATTAGAATAGGTTTCTTGATTGAAGCGAATTAAATGAGAAGTAGGGAGGTGTTAAGGATCTTTATGTGCGAACACACAGTATAAGGAGTTGAAAAAAGAATCGACCAAACTAAACAGACATTTTTTCTATATTTCCAACTACAGAATTTAATGAGTTTTCATAAGAGTAATCACTAGAATTTTCGTTAAAGATATCACCGTGCTTATCAAAAGAATTGTAGCTGATTCTAGTAAACGAAGGACGATTGCCGAAGGACAAATTGACATCATTAAAGGACAAAAAGCTACTACTTTCCGAATTAAGAATTAAATCCTGTCCCGAGAGATTCTCAAAGTTCTCTTCTCGACTCCAGTTTCGAGATGTCTCTCGAGAAGTAAGGTAATTTTGGTTGCGAAACAAATCTAAATCGAAATGATCTTCGGAATTAACAGAAGTTCTAATTGACGTTTCAACTCCCAACTCATTGGAATCTTTTTCACGAGACAAAAGATCCCGTTCCTCTGATTCCCTGATTTCTTCCAAGGTTAATTCATGCGAATTTTCCGGCAACACTTCTACTGATTCTCCATCAATTTCTCCCGATAGCCCATCATCTTCTTTTTGATCAAGAATTTTCGTTTTGTCTTCGTAGCTGTTATTGAAATTTCTGATATAGTCAACGACCGTCAAACCTAATCTCACCATCGGCCGAATGCGAGAAGCGATTATCGATGAATCTTCGTTCGAATTGCTTTGATCACTTAAGCTTTTTATCTTTGCCCACTGTACTTCTGAAAATGTTAACATGAATATTTCGCCTGATAGAATCCAGTCCAACGAGTTGAACACAAGATAACCAAATTCCATTGAGTTCATATCCAACAACGACTGATTCTTGAAATTGTGAAATTCTGTCGCGGAACATCCGAAAATTTCGTCGAAACTTTCTCCAAAGACCGTCACTATTACAACGATGCGATGTTTAATAAATACATTTGAAAAAAAAAAAAAAACATGAAAAAAAAAAAATTTTTTTTTCATGATTTACCTTTTTGTAAATAATTGTTGATGGGTATTAACAAGCAAAGTTGGTATCTATATGACAAATCCGAAGCTCTACACACCGTTCGACAACAAAGGCACATAATTAAGGAACACGCTTCCTCGGTAGGGAAGTCGTATCCTTTATGAAGATTCAATTTTTTATTACAGTCTTTGCATGACGGATAGATGTACTCTTTTTGACGAATGATTCCCATGATGGGTGATTGGAGGTGTTTCGGCATATCTCCTGATGAATAAAGTTTTCGAAACTTTGATTTTTTGATTTTTTTTTTTTTTTTTTTTTATGCGCGTTCATCGTTACACGACCCAAACGACGCGCCGTGTTGCAACATGCGTGACAAACATCCACTGAAGATAGTTGTAATATGTCCATCCTACGATAACAATTTTTTTTTTTTCTTTTGAAAGAAAACCATCATCACATCCAGATAGTAGGATTGCGCATTTTTTATTTTACACCGCCGATTCATATGAATCGACACAATGATAGAAAAAAGATTACCTATTGATGATAATAAATGAAATCCTTAAAAACAGGTTTGATTGAATATTTAAAATGGCACGGACTTTTTTTAATACTGGATCGACACCATATAGCGTAACAGAATAACTTGCCAACTTCGACTGATAAAGATTCTATCATTCTATCCAATTATATACTGTACTTACCTTACTGTATATGGTGTATATTTACAGTATACCCTTGGAATCGATATAGTAAAAATAATAATTTTTAATTATATTGAAATGGTACATAAAGCTGTAATCTATTATCAAATAAAATTATATTATACTGCAGATAAAATACTGTAAAATAAAATAATGTACAATTGACAAAATATATTTTAACGTACAGTATATTGAAATGTTGCCTAAGTCGTCTTTTTTATTACCTTTTGAATAAAACTTTGTTATTACTTCTTTAAATATTCGTATAATAGCAATTCTGCGATGTACAAATATTTAATTAGTTATAAATTATATTGTAAAAAAAAAAAAACAAAAACACAAAACAAGTGTATTCAATATACCGTATAAGAAGTAATTTATATAATAAGTTAAACAATTTTACAATTAAAAATGTCAATAAATAATTGTAATAATTTTTATATATTTAATTATTTTTAAATGTTATTATCGAAACATTTGCTTTAAAAAACAATCGTAAATTCAATGGATTTTAACTTTTAAATAATCTTTTGTATAATAAATAATTAAGAAAATAAAATCTTTAAAAAATAAGAAGAAACCATTATATATTAAAAAATAATTATTGTTATTAGTTAAAATTTTTTTAAATCTAAAATTTTATAAATATATACAGTATATTGCATATAATATATTTTATTTATTTTAGTTTAAAAAAATAAAATTCTTTTTTTAATAACTTTTTTAAAATAATATTTATTTAAAAGTTTTATCTTTATATTTATAAACTAAAACTAGTTGATAAATATATTTTAATCTAATTTATCTTTTTTTTAATCTTTTGATTAATTTTTAAATTAAAAGTAAATTTAAATTTTTAATAATAATATATATATTATATATAATATTAATTAGAAAACTTTTAAACTCTTTGTTAAGCTAATAATGTATACTTTATCAAATATTCATATACTTTTTTTTTTTTTTTTTTTTTTTTTTTTTAAATACTGGTTAAGCCAAACTTTATTGAGAGATCTTTACATAAGATAGAGAAAACAAAGTTCCTCTGGGGCCATATGTAAGA